AAAATTGTGGGCTAAGATAATTTGTAGTATTCACGGGCTTGCAGAGAATGGTTGGGACTCTGGGATTCTGGCTATGTCTACAAGAGCATCACCTTGGAAATCAATCCAAGCTATTTTGCCTCTATTTTCTCCTTGGATCAGGTATGACTTGCACTCGGGTAACCTCATAAAGTTTTGGGAACATGTTTGGGTTAGGGAGTCTCCTTTGAAAGACCAATTTCCTGCCCTTTTGCAATCTCCACTTTCAAAAATGAACCAATTGCCACATTCCTTGTTCCCTCAAATTCAAATTCTGGGTTTGGTTGGAACTTGGGCTTGAGAAGAGCACTCAGGGATATCGAATTGGATAGTACCTCAACTCTCTTGTCCATTCTTGATGGGATTTTCTTGGAGCCTACAAAAACATATAGTAGGATTTGGACTTTGTCTCCTTCCGGATCCTTTACTTGTGCCTCCTTCTTTAAAGCCCTAATACAATCGGAAATTCCTATTGGTTTGTCATTCCCTATCAAGGAAGTGTGGTGTCAACCTATACCTCCGAGGATTGGGAGTTTCTGTTGGGAAGCTTTCCTAGAAAGTGTTAGCACAGGTGATTTACTTCAAAGAAAAAGACCCAATAGCTGTTTATCTCCACACTGGTGTGTTCTTTGCAAAGCCGCTGGTGAGTCTGGTTACCACTTACTAATATCCTGTATTTTGGCAAAAAATATTTGGGAATGGTTTGCTTCTTTGTTTGGGTGCAGGTGGATCTCCCCAACAAACGTGCAAAGCTTGTTTTCCTCTTCCTCTCTTGACTGCTCAACAAAAAGATCAAGAATCATGTGGAGATGTGTGAGAGCTGCTGTTTGTTGGACAATATGGGAAGAAAGAAATTCAAGGATCTTTTCAGAAAAGGAGAGAGGTTTGGAAACTATGCTAGAAGTGATTCATATAAGGGTAATACACTGGCTGAAAACAATGGATGAGTTCACAGATTTTTCAACAGATGATATGTTAAGAAAATGGAAAGAAATTGCTAGTTCAGTCTCAAGTAACAAGACCTCGAATCTCACATGGAACCCTCCACCTCCTGGTTTTATCAAACTAAATTTTGATGGCAGTAGCATGGGGAATCCAGGGCCCTCGGGTATTGGGGGGGTGCTAAGAGAGAAAGGTAATGTAATAGTTCTCTGGCCCAATTGGAGTGGGAGACTCTTTGAGGGCTGAGGTGTTAGCAGCTTTGGAAGGGGCACAAAGGGCCAAAGACCTTAATGTCAAGAAATTGATTATAGAGGGAGATTCTGTGATTGTAGTGGTCTGGCTAAAAGAAGACACCTCTAAGATGTGGAGCTACAGTAATGAAAAGAGAGTTCAAATGGCTGATCAAGAATATGGAAGTTCAGTGTACCTGGGTAAAGAGAAATGCCAACTCCTTTGCTGATGGATTAGCTAGGCAAGGGGTTAATAGGGTTTCTGGGTTCTGGGCTCAGTTGTAATTGTTGTTTTTATCAGTTTGGGTGCATTCCCAACTTCTGGGGAGTTAAGATACCTTAGCTCCTATTCTTTGCAAGTTTACTACCATTTAATGAAATCTGTGGTTATTGATCAAAAAAAAAGTTGCAATAAAAAAAAGATATATTCTGCTAGATCTAAGCTGGTCAACTTAACTCAGCTTGACAAAGCCTTGTCTCAACTATATGGGGTTGGCTACATGAATTATGTTTTTCTGTTCCACAATTCTGCTCTGTTTATTGCTATGTCCATTGGCAAGTATGGGCCTTCAAATTATTTCTCACTATTATAATCCAATCTGCCTTTGAATTCTGTTAGAATAGTGACTGTAGAAGTAAGAGAAAGATGAGAAGAAGAAGAAGAAGAAGAAGAAGCGAAGAAAATAGAGAGGGAAAGAAATCTGGTTCGAACAAGAGAGAAATCTGTCTCTCTCTAGTCGGCCAGATCAATTTATATGTTTCTATTAAATCATAAAAAGACTCCTTTGCCCCTACTTAAGTGAGGGACACAACTACTAATAGAACATTACACATCAGCAACTTAAACATAAAGATAAAGACTAAAATACCTCTACACAGTCGACATTAACACTCACTACTTCAACACATGTTTGTTTTGGCCTGCTCCTGGTTCTTCTAGACCTTTCAACTTGCAATAGGTTAGTTATCCTTGCTACTGCTGTAGATGGTCTTCTCTGTACATAAACAAGCATCTTAATCTACTTTACCTGATTTTATCACTTGTCAAGGCTACAACATTCTAATAAATCTGCTTATTTCTGGTTCTATCGTTTCTAATTTTCTCACTCATTCATCTCAAAATTTGTATCTCTATTGCGCTCATCTTTTGGACATGTTTCTTGAATGCCCAACACTTTGCTTTATATAACATTGCTAGCCTTATAGCCACTTTAAAAAATTTTTGTTTTAGTTCAAGTGGTATTCCCCTATCTTATAGGACTCTGGATACACACCCCTTCTGCACATCCTGCTCTAATTCTATTGGATGATATCCTCTTCAATCTCTCTCTCTCTCTCTCTCATTATCAAATCAAGGTAATAAAATATGTCATACATTGAGGTATCTCTTCTCTTGGATCCTAATTATATACTGAATTGTGCTCCTATATTATTAAATTTACATAGCATTTGTTTCATTTTAGTCCTACTTATCTTAATACTTTGTTTTTTATTTTTTGAAGTATCTCTTGTCAGATCTAATTTTGTATGATCCCTCTTTAGTTTCGTGAATTAATAACATTGTTTTCAAGGCGCTAAGAAAAAGCTAGGTGACATGGAGACACCTTGACGCCTAGGCACCTAGGTGCTGGGATTTTTAAAATAAACAATATAAATCCTAGGGTACTCTGATGTCTCCGCTCTGGGTGTTTTGACATTAGTCATTGCACCATCAAATATGTTCTTAATTAGGTTCACATACCAAAAAGGGCATGCCTCAAAGTAGTAATAAATGATTTAAATGCTAATAACTTAACAATGGATATGGCACCATCAAATGGAATGGTGAAACAAAGTGAAGATCTCTTTTATCATGGAACTTTTCCATCTTGTGAGCCTCTCCCATTTATACATCATTTACACAATTATACTTTGCCATTTCTCAAGATCCTTTATTATGGAACTTCTCCATCTTGGAAGTCTCTCTCATTTATACATCATTAATACAATTATACTTTTCCATTCTCAAAAAAAAAAAAAAACTCAAGAAAAAGATAGCTTCTATGTCTCCCTAGCTTAAAACCAAATTGGTTTTCTAATGTATATGTTCCATGTAATGATCTTTTATCAATGACTCAATCACTTTCTCCCAAAATTTTATAGTGTACACAAGTCTAATCCTGCAATAATTATTATAACATTGTACATTGCCTTTGTTTTTAATAATAGGCACCATGGTGTTCTTTCTCCATTCATCTAACATTTATTTTATTTTCATTATCTTATTAAATTGTTTGGTTAACCTTTTTGCTTTGTGAGACTACACAATGGGGGGTAGTCCATCCCCTCCACCCAGGTGATGATGGACTTTGATCCCAAGTCTCCACTTCAACCAGCCAGACACTATTAACCATGATAACCCTACCTCTCCCATACCTTTCCAGATTGTTATTTGAGATACTTCTAATTCCTTCCCCTTGTTCATCTTATTTAAATCGTCTCTTGCCTCTAAAGATCTAATTTTATGAAAGTACTATAGCTTCTAGTTATTATTGGGGCTATGAACCCCTCCCTAGCTCGCAGTCTCTATATTTTCTTTATTTAGTAATTAAAAAAAAACTATTCCATTTTCCAAGATTTCCTTACCCTACCCTTCGATAAGGCTCTTTGATTTTTTTCTTTGATGCTCCTAACTTGATTGAAAATTTTTGTTTCTTTTTTCTCATCTTTCCAAGTTTATAAATTTCATTTTTTCTCTCTTTGGTATTCTCTTTAGCTAACTTGACCAACTTGACCAAAATCATCTTATACATGGTATGGTTGTGTTCCAGTTTCAGATCCATTTTCAGTTGGCATGATATTATGATGAGCTATGGTTATCTGAATACTTGTACATGCCTAGCATAATGGTGTCTGATGTGATCCACACTCAATATGATGGCAGACACAGCATGGGCACTTATATATATACTCTATTAACACTTTTAAAATATGTAAATTGGTGTATTTGAACTAATCATACTATAAAGAATTTTAAAGGGTATTACCCTATGTTGGTCCCATCTATCTAGGGTCTTGGGAGGGGAGGTCTGGATAAGGATCTGACCTTTGACCTTTTTTTCTTTTGCACAAAGTGGTCATTCTCATACTCAAACCTGCCTCTTCATGCTTCTCACCTTGGGAATTGACTATTACACCAAGTAATAGTAAAAAACTATATACGTTGGCAATTAATTAAGTTTGGCAAGACATAAGCCTTGAGAAATAGCATTTAACTTCAAAAGTGGATATAGAAGCATGAATAAACAAATGATATGGGGTGCTGTACCCGTATATGTGTGTGCAGTTTTAGGAAATGGGGAGTCGTATCTGTCTGTGTCAGTCAGGGTATAATAGATGATGAGTGTTTTAGAGGATCCCATTATGTTATGAGAAGTGATAAATAAGACCAAGGGTTCTGTTAGTAAATGCCAGTAACAACTAATCGATTCAAGTTGTTGGAATACATCTTGATCTTCTAACTCAAGCTGGATGGGAAGATTATCTCTTCCTGATTTGCCAAATTTCTAGACAGTATGGTAAAATAACAACTGACACCGGTGAATGAGCTACTAATCATGTAGTGCCTGACTTGCAATCCATTCTTGGGGGGATATACTCCTATTTTAGCGCTTAACATTACCCCAAGGGCACCACTCTGGTATGATATATCTTGAGGCATTGCTACCATGATGTCATGCTCTATACTACTTGAGGATATTGAAATGGAAAAATCTGTATTCTGTTATATGGATGTCCTCAAGTTAATTCTTGATTTGAATTTTCTTATAGAACGAGCGCGGTCAAGTGGATGTGTGGTCCGAGAAGTGTCTCCCACCTGGCACTGTGCACCTGAGGTTACCTAGGGTGGTCCCTGTTGTAAAGAGGCTGGAGATTGATTTTGCCCCTGCAATGGTTGGGTTTGAATTTCGGAATGGCCGATCCATTCCCATCTTTGAAGGGATTGTAGTGTGCAAAGAATTTAAAGGTGCAATATTGGAGGTAAAGTCCTTGACCATTTTTTGTTTATCCTTTAGGTTAATGAGAGATCTTTGGAACTGCAAGTTTCTAGAGGTAATGAATATTATTTTTTATGTGATCTTTTCTGTTCTTCAGGCATATGCAGAAGAAGGAGAGAGAAGAGATGCTGAAGAGAAGAGACGGATTGAAGCCCAATCTATTTCTAGATGGTATCAGCTTCTTTCATCAATTATAACACGACAACGGTTGAATAACTGCTATGGGGGTGATTCATTTTCACAGGCATCTGAACGCATCCTCCCAAAGGATGAAAAATATGGACCTAAGACTTGTACTAGCAAGGATGATGTGCAATCTCTTGGATGCCATGGCCATGTACGAGGTGCCAATTCTGATACTCAATCAGCTGTGCTTGGTGATGACCATGAACATGTATTTCCAGTAGAAGACCAGAGTTTTGATGAAGAAAGTTCAGTGCGAACCAAACGCTGCCCTTGTGGGTTTTCAGTTCAAGTGGAGGAACTTTAGCACCTTAATCAGATACAACCTTCCTGTGACTCAACGGAGAGAGTTGTCATGAGCAACTGAAGTGCTGCGACGCAAGAGTACAATTTGTTTTGCCATTGTAGAAAACACGTGCATACTTAGCAGCTTGGAGATTTTGTTTCTCACTTTCTCGTTGTAGATCTCGGTTAGAAATGGAGCAAAGGGAATGTACATAGCTTGGTGGCAATATGTAAAATATGGTCCTGAGTCACAAATCTGAAGAAAATTTTAAGGATGTTTTTGTTTCCCTTGAAAGTAAGAAAAAAAATTAAAGCCATTCATCTTTGTGACATATTTGTATGATGAGGCCTCGTTTATCTCAAGCACGTATGCTCAGCTGAGGCATCCAGGAGCTTATACGTATTCTTTTTTCATTTTATCTTGCAGTATAAATGATAATACACTAGTCCGGGTCCAGTACATATTGAATAATCCTGTAGCCACCTGTGTCTCATCGTCTCAATGCTAATGCTAGAGGTGAGACTTAAAAAGAGGTCTAAGATCAAGTTGAAATGCATTACAAGTAACATGTATTCATTGTGCACATTCAGCTCCAGAGGTTAAAAAAAGCCATTACCCAATGTTGTGTTGGTTCCAATGATAAAAGTCTGGCTGTCCGCGTTTGACAGCCTGGGCTCTACCTGCAGGACATGGTAGTTCATGCAGCCATTCATCTGGAAACATTACTGTTACACTGAGTCTGAACTAACATGCCATGCATGGACCGTCCTGTCTATAGCCCAGGCTGTCGAACATAGACAACCAAACCTTTTCTAGTCCCAACTATCTGGGGTCTTTGGATTGGAGGGTGGATTGGTCCGATTGGATATAGGCCTATCCTTTTTTTTTTTTTCATGAAGTGATTGCTCTGAGACTCTAGTACCCGATCTCACAATTTTATCATTAAACCAAACAATGGTCCCTACATTCAGTTCCACAGATCTAATTTTAAACAAGTGTTTTGCGGTATCACTCTTTGAAGGAACCAACGAGGGAGAAAAAAATGTGTAATAGCCCTACCCAAGGTTCAAAATACTGATACGTTGGTAGGGGCATATTGGGCAAATACATTTTTATTATTTTTTTCTTTATTTTTTTTCACATCCGGTTTAAGGGGTCGGTTTAGGTCTCTTCAACCCCCCTGAACTGGTCAGACCTCCGATACACCCCTGTAGGACCATAGGGTTAGTGGCTCTTGTCACTTAAATAGACACCGTTCTATTTTAAACATAATTGTGTTTATAGCTCTTCAATGGTACTTACATGCTCTATCTCCTCAATAATCTTTTATTGTTTCTTTTGATGAATTATCTGCTCAGATAATCTAAACTAGTCATTCTTGAGCTGAGAGAAAACTAGCTTAATTTTATTATTTTAATGGGCAACTTGGGCTGTTTGGGAATATTGAAAACAGTCAAAGTTTTTCCTATATTTATAGCCCATTTATTCTGCATATATATATATATATCATCCATAAAGGAAAATTATTTTCTCATTTTCACTAAAAGACAAGTTTTTCTCGTTGACTACCAAACCAACTTGTTGCTTGTTTATTGGTCTTTATTTATGCAACGCCAGCTTTGGTTCCAATGTTCTTTATTTGACACAAACAGCTGCAAGATACAAAGTCCTTGGCGGCTCTTTGTTTGCAATGTGGACTCTACGTTCTGATGACTTAATTAATCTTAATTGAGTTGTATTATAAAGCCCCTGGTAGGGCCATGCTTTTTGGTCTAATATTAACATCTCGGGCTGGTGGTAAGCGCGAGAATGTGGGTTTAAGTCTAAAAGCGGCCTTTTTGTAAAAAATGCCGAAGGCATGAATACTTGTAATGGTTATTGGGTGGTGATGCTTTTTTGTTAAGGGAAGAGTAACTTTAAATTGTATTGAGGCCTTGTTCGAGTTTTATGAAGTCATTTATCTTGGTAAATGCATTTACCCAAATAAGTGTATTTATCATTTATCAATATTCTTTTATTTTCCGAGTTCTACAATAATTGTTTTATCCAAAAAATAAAAATTGACATTATTATTTTCCCATCATATATTAGCAATTCTCGATGTGAATGGATAAATGATTCACTCAAGCCTTAAGAGGATAAAAATTGGCCAGGTAAATAAGCCACTAGGGAATTATTGTTTTCCATCCTACTAAAACTGAAATACAAATACAGGTTTATTTCTCTTCCATGAAACCCACCAACTTATCTGCCCCCACTTTCTGAAAAACGAATGAAACCTAAGATACAAACTTGTACATAATAGGAATATACAAAGAAACAGAACAAAAAGGGCAGCACCAAACCAAAAAATCAGGGTAAGAAACTAGTGACATCTCTTTGCCTTTTCTCACAAAACATGTTTGATTGACTTTGTGCCTACGGATAAGGATAAGGATGTCTTTCCCTCCTCCTAAGCTAACCCAAAAGACTTTGAGACCGTCAACCTAGAGGTGTACGGTGTCGGCCAACGGGCCGTCCCGAGCCATGCCACCCCCTGGGATAACTTGGGGGGTTGGCTTGGCTCGGCCTAGCCCACGGCCTAGGCCCGTGCCGTGCCGCGGGCCAATCTGGCCTGTGGGCTGAGCCTTGGGTCAGATTGGGTTATGTATTGGGCCAAAGCTATTTTTAAAAAAATTGATAAAAAATTTCAAATTTTAATTTTATATGAATTTTGATGTATAAAATTGCTTATATATATAATAATTAAATAAATTAGTATAATAAAATTAAAAAAATATTTATTTTATTAATATATGATATGCTATGTATTATTATATAATTATAATTTATATAATATAATATATATGGGCCATGCTGAGCTGTACCAGCACGTGGGCCATGGACAGCATGGCCCGCACAGTCGTGCCGTGCTGACCCGGCCCATAGACCTAAAACCCCAAGCCCAACACAGCCTGCACGGCGGTTCTGGATTTGGCACGGTCTGCGGACTGTCGTGCCGGGCCACGGGCAGCATGGCCCGTTTTATACCTCTTTTAGGTTCGAAGGCATGTGAAAAAAATTATATTTTCAGACCTCATATCCACCCTCTAATAACTCACCATTGACAAACTTTCACGAGAAAGGAAAAAGGAGAAGTCTTGCACCCAGAAAAGAAAAGAAAAAAAGTCTAATTCAACCATCTTCGTCTAATTAATAGCTTAGCCTGTGAAAACCGGCCAACTAATCTAGTCCAATCTGATATTAGGACCACCTTCAGGCTTCAGTTACTAGTTTCTCTGAACATGCATGGCTTTAATTAAGAACAAAAACAATGGGCAAGAGCCACAAGACTCACCATTTTTGTGTTACTTCTCACACGCATTTTGATTTAGTATCTAAACGAGAAACGCATTAATTAATTAGTTGTGAAAAGGGGCTGGTAACCAAGAAAAAAGAACACATTTAGACCAGAGAAAACGTATTAATATGAAGAAATTTAGATTTAAAGTGGTTGAAACCAACACATCAAGAAAGTGACACATGAACTTTGTTGAAGTTGGATTCTTCTTGGCAACTTGTGTGTTGCAGAGTGGAGACAAGGGGTTCGTTGTTCTCCTCTTAAAGATATGATTCTCTCTTCCATGTACAACCTTATACCAACTTAGTTGCTTGTCAATTATATGTGATACTTGACAGAAAGAGAAGCCATGGATGGGCCTCTAATTGGCTTGGTCTTCTGTTTCTAGAGATTGCACAAGAGCCATTGCTTTGGAATCTCTCATCACGGAATTGATATCAGCCACGTGAAACTTTCACTCTATAGATATATAATAGTTCTTTAGCAAAAACTTGGCTCCCAAGCCGACCATAATATCCACATCAGATGATAGGACCCACCATTGATGGGCAACATTTTCAGCTTTAAAGTATATATGATCAGGATATATCAGTTCGTGCTGCAAATATTTCAAGGATGCAACAAAAATATTAAAACGCTTTGAAAGCTTTGACGATAATGCAAACCCATCAGATTGGTGGATTAATTAAAGTCGTATAATTGTTTTGACTTTTCTTTATGCCCTATCTTAGGTAGGAGTAGGACCCATTTAATGGTTGGTTCTGATCTTCCAAGTAACCAATACGTGGCAAGTTATGAGGGAACTAGCTGCCGGTCTTGTGGTTCCAAATAAACCCAAGCCAGTCTTAAAATCTTTTAGCTAGGTAAGCAACCTTCCTATTGACAATAACCTCCCTATTGGCAATATTTGTTATTCTTTTCAAACTGAGCTAAGTTACAAATACAAGAGGGTATATCAATTGCAGAACTAGTTCCGAAATGAGAAACTGGGCTTCTTCGTGATGAATCATGAACTTTATGCCATTGATCATCAGAAAAAAAAATGCAAAAATTAAGCTCATGAAGCGAGGAGATTTCTTGGTGGAAATTTATAAACTGGATTTTAATATTTCAGATAGCAATATCAATTCAATAGCCATACATCAAGTAAAAACAAGGCCCCATTTGATCAAAATTTATTAGGTAATGTTGGAATAAGGACAATTAAAGGGTGTTTCGTGCAAGTAATGCCATTGTTAATGGTCCCTCCTCTAATATTAAGAAATTGCTTTTTTTTTTTCTTTTTCTTGAGGAAAAATTATTAAGAAATTGTTTAATAAGCTATAAGTTGGGAAAAGAAATAAAAAATACAATGAAATGTAACCAATAACCATGATTAGCTATCTGACCTAAACTACAAGCAGCTTACATATTAATATATCCATTATTATTTCACTATTTAGTATTGCCTTTTAATTCGAAATTATAATTCCCACACCAGATTTTTAGTTCCCCCACAGCCCCCTATATGTCTTGTGTCTTACTATATATTGCCTGCTTACCCTACATAATGGTCTAAATGAGACATTATTTGTGGAGACTCAGTCTATAGGGCTTAAATGATATATTTGTTTACATGCAAAGAATCCCCATCATCAAGAAGATATTGGCTCTTTGAATAAATGCTAAACAAAATCAAGATGCATTCGTTTCTTTGATCATTATATCCTATTCATGGTAAGAAAAAATGATAAAAAAATACTTGCTTAATTGCTAAACAAACACGCCAGAAGTACTGTTTGGCAGATGAAAATTGAAATGGGTCCTTGTCCATGAACAGACACTTATTACTAAGTACCAGATTTTAGAACTGTAGTATTTGGAAAGATAAAATGGGTCTTTATCCTTGAACAGATTTAACACAAATAATGAGAATTTAAATGGGTCTTTGTCCTTGAAACAGACTGCTTGATACAAGTATACAACAAATTAATAATCAGATTTTCAGCTTCTTAATTAATTCGATCTACATTACTAATCGTCCAAGTCTCACAACTTAGACCCATAAATCAGTACACGGCACCCTTGGTGCCAAGTCACTGTATTCCAGCCATCCATTTCCATTTCTATACCGGTCGTATCAATCAGTTGATCCTCACCACCTAACAACAGCCTTTTTGATGGACGCTGTTTACAGTAATCTAATTGACAATTCAGATATATATATATATATATATATATATATATATATATATAAGCACAAGTTAAAACTTAATTAGCTAAATAATTAGGCACGTCTACTTGTAGGAAACATTTAAGCATTTCCGCACTAATAATCCAATTCAAACAATAGGCTGATAAAGCTCGAATCGTTATTATATCATTATATTTGATTCATTAATTAGTTTCCGATCACTGATTATATATATGTCAATGACATTTAGATCTACAGCATCGATTGATGGCGATCATGTGTGTGTATGGTTTATCATACAAATCGTTTTATAACTACTCTAGTTGGTATACATGAACATCTAGAATTAATCATCTGGTAAAACATTCCATCAGTTCTCTATCGTCTCAATGAATGATATCTAAATATACTGGTGCTAACATATTATAACCACTGTAGTTACATATATTTGTGCTACACCAGTTTTCCATAAGGTCAAGCCATTTTCCCTTGATGATTCCAACCATTTCCACCGGGCAAATCTATCTATATAACTTGTGCAAGTAAAAAAAAAATAAAAATATAAACTGACATTATATAATTAAAATTAATTTTTATGACCTGTATCAAAATCAAGACAAATATCTATTTTACAATAGCATGGATAGATAGATAGATATATATACCATAGCAGTAGTCATATGCATGTATTAAACTCTTGAGTCCTGACTAGGACTAGTTAATATAATACTATTTTAAGGGATAAAGTCGGAGTGCTAAACCTCATCTTAATCTTTTTATCCCCCAGAAAATATGAATTTTGAAAACATACATCGAATTTATCACTAAACATAATCTATTAATTAAGGATTGAAGTAGTTAGAAATTATTTTAGAGTACGTGATTAATTTAACAATGGATATGGTACTGAATTGAATAGCAGATCCATGTAGTTGACCTGATCATGTATATAGTTCGAACAAGCCTTAGATGCTGTTGAACTTGGTAGATTAATCTTACAAGTTATTATGATTGGGAGATATCATAAAAAGGTAATTTAATTAGTTATTGAAATACTATCCACATCATTGTTTGGTAAGTTCTTAATTGCAAGGATACAAGATACGTCCACTGCTCATAGGATTAAAAAAATGTTAATATAATGGGGACCCATCAATACTTAATTCCCTAATATTAACTCTTATATCAAAGATTTACTATTAATTGCATCAAGTTCTACATACGTGAGCAAGAAAAACCAAAAATTGAATTGACAAAAAATTGACCGAAACCAAATCGGATGGTTCAGTATTTTAAAAAATCGAAGGTATCGGTTCGGTTTTGATTAACCAAAATAGAAAACTGGCAGTTAACCAAACCAACTGGTATACATATATTTATATATTTTATGTATTTTTATGTATATTATATATATTATAGATATTTTATATTTTTTATACATTATAAATTAATAGATATGCAATATATATATATATATATATATATATATATATATATATGTGTGTGTGTATAAATATTATATTTATAATATATAATATATTATTTATTATTTAAAATATAATATTTTGTATATATTTCTAGTGTTTATTATATATTTATATATATTTTTTATAATATATTGCAAATATATTGTAAATAATAAAAAAACAATAAACTTAACCGATGATTAACAAAATTGGTTAACTATTTAATTGATTAATTTTAATTTGATTTTAGTTACCAATTTTCCAAAAACAGATAATCCTAGTCTATATATATATATATACTTAAAAATCAGAAACAAGCAAATGTTATGTACGGAGTCCCGAAACCTGAGCAAATAAACCCCAACAGCCACACATAGGATAGGATGGCTTTTGTTGTTCACCAAAATATCTCCCCAACAAACCAAGCTTAGGTATGTTCACCAAACCATGCATGAAGCCGTCTGGCATCCATGCCCACAAATCAGAATACTCTCTCAGGGCCACAAAAATGGGATAAGGGAAAAAAGAATATAATTAATATAAGAAGACAGAGGACGAATATTAAAATCATTATAAAATAATATTTTCTAATTGACTTGTATATATATGATTCACGCTGCTTTCTTTAATATATCTCTTTATTTATTATGTAATTGTATTCTCATCAAGGGATTTCATTGAAGCCTAATAGATTGGAATCGAAAGATCAAAGTAACAAATTATTAAAGGATATTGGCTGGTCATCAATATTGTATCGACTATTGACGTGGGTGTCCACGGAAATTGATCAGTTTTGACTTGGGCTGCATGCATTAATCCATTGGCGCGTATATTAATTTGGAATATTCAAAAACTACGTTACACCATGATTCTCTTCACGTAAACATCATGCAGACCAGACCCAACAGATTTTCAAAATCCCATACGCGTTCAAACAATTCTATTACTAACAGTAGTTCCCCATTGAGCCAAAATTTTGCCTATAAAAGGAGCTCAATCTTGCATTTGTGAATCATTGGAAATACAAGAGTCAGGGGATCAATATATATATATATATTAGTTATTAGTAGCAAACTAATTGGGCCGGGGATCCATGGATAAGCTTGCATTATTAGGTTTTGTGATGAGTGTTTCTCTTGCTTATTTTGCTATTATTGGGGTGGTGAATGCTGATGCAATATCATCATGCAGCCAAACCCCATATCCTGAAATATGTGAGTCCTTCATTACTTCTAAACCTCTAGTCACCTTAGACGAAACCCAATTCAATTTCCGTGAGACTGCCCTTACTGTCACCCTGGACCAAGCTCAACGAGCCCATGGGCTCATTTCCGCCATGGACTTGGGCTCCTTTGATGACAAGTCCAAGATGGCATGGGCTGATTGTGTGGAGCTTTATGCTGACACAGTTAGCCAGCTAAACCGCTCCATGGCGTCCAAGAATCCTTTGATCTGGTCTGATGCTCAAACATGGTTGAGTGCTGCTATCACCAATGAGCAGACGTGCCGAAATGGGTTCATCGAACTAAGCTCGTCTTCTCAACTGTCGTCCTTTCCCTTCATGTTGACTAACTTATCCAAGATGGTTAGCAACTCGCTTGCTATAAACAAGGCTGCAGCCTCTACGTCGTCGGCGTCGCTGTTTGGCAAGCAAGGTGCTAATAATCGCCGCTTGCTTTCCGATGGATTCCCGACATGGGTCTCCGCCGCTGACAGGAAGCTTCTCCAGTCATCTGGTGCAGCTTCGCAAGCTGATGTCGTGGTGGCCGCCGATGGGTCTGGGAATTACAAGACCATCTCGGAGGCGGTCGCTGCTTCATCCAAGAGAAGTGGGTCGAGATTTGTTATATACGTGAAGAGAGGTGTTTACAAAGAAAACGTTGAAATTAAGGCATCGAACATCATGTTGATTGGAGACGGCATCGACGCTACCATTGTTACAGGCAGTAGGAATGTCCAAGATGGTTCCACCACCTTTCGATCAGCAACAGTTGGTAAGTTCTATTCATGGACTATCAAATTGTGTCCCTGTTAATGGATGATAATATTGATCGTTAGTGCTTTATCATCAGTCCAGTTTCTAAACAGATAAATATTTTATATAAAAATTGTTTTCTTTGGTGGATATATAACTGGCGGGCCAATCCAGATGAGACTTTGTTGCAATCTTTATATAAGTAACTAAAACATCTCTGAATCTTTAGCTTTTAATATTTAACCACTGATGGCGTTTTCAATTCTAAGGCCTCACGCTCTGGTCATAACGACATAAGTTTTTCCGTGTCTCTTATGCTGTTCTTGGCTGTACTGTTCTATATAAACTTTTTGTTTTCATCTTTGTCAAACTAATAAAAAAAAGACTAAAAGCCATTTTTATTGCATGGCTTAAGTCATCAAGAGATAACGAACAAACCGGCAGGCCGGCGACCACCAACCAAGCTGCTGTCGTGGTTATTGTCTTATTACCTTTTTATTATGTTGCCATAGGCCCATAGTATTATGATGATAGGGATGCCTTGCCCTAACTCTCTCTGACTTGTGTGAATTTTGCGTAGTCAAAAGGAGAAAAAAGAAGCAAAATATTACGGACCGCCCCACAACGTCCCACAGCACATCTCCCGCTGTGTACCGGGAACATCTCCCGATGATAATACCAGAACCAATGATGTCATCATCATCGGGAGATGCTTCCAATACCCGGCGGGGATGTGCTGTTGGACGTTGTGGGGCGGAGATGTGAATTCGAATAAAATTGAAGCTAGCAGCTATATATCAATCACTTACATGGTCTATTTCATATACTCAGCGGTCACCGGTGGTGGTTTTATTGCTCGAGATATGACATTTGAAAACACAGCGGGGCCCCAGAAACACCAAGCAGTTGCTCTCCGCTCGGGTTCGGATCTCTCAGTGTTCTACCGTTGTAGCCTTAAGGGTTACCAGGACACCTTATACGTCTACTCTCAACGCCAATTCTACCGCGACTGTGACATCTACGGCACAGTTGATTTCATTTTTGGGGATGCTGTTGCTGTCATCCAGAACTGCAACATCTATGTTAGGAAGCCCATGAGCGGGCAGAAGAACACCGTGACGGCTCAGGGACGGACAGACCCCAATGAAAACACAGGCATCTCCATCCACAACTCCCGTGTCACTGCCGCTTCCGACCTGAGAGCTGTCCAGGGCTCATTCAAGACATACCTGGGTCGCCCATGGCAGAAGTACTCAAGGACTGTCTTCATGAAGACATCTCTCGATAGCTTGATCGACCCAGCAGGGTGGCTTGAGTGGAGTGGCAGCTTTGCATTAAGCACTTTGTACTACGGGGAGTACATGAACACGGGTGCCGGTGCAAGCACCGGTGGGCGAGTAAAGTGGGCAGGGTACCATGTCATGAGTGCTGCAGATGCCGGAAAGTTTACAGTCGGAAGTTTCTTGGGCGGAGGCTCTTGGATTGGGTCTGCCGGAGTTCCCTTCACTTCCGGGCTGTGAATTCACAAAGATGCTGCATGCAGCTGGCTTATCTTTCAACTGTCATATATAGGTATTGGGTTTAGGATCATAGATCTCATGGCAGATGAGATATGCAGCTAAAGAAGTTGTAATATATATAACTTGTGTGTGTTCAGTTCTCTTCCTTATATAAATTATGTAAAGCATAGGTTACAGATGGTTCCCTTGTTTGTATTGAATGGAGAAGATGTAATAAATCATTCTCAAGTCAATAAATTTTAGGGTATTATTCACATATATCTTTTCTTTCCTCATTAGAGGTTTGAATCACCATACCACTATTGTGAGGGCACGTGGCATAACAAAGGTAAAGGTGGGACCCAGTAGTGGATCTCCAAAGTCAAAAGTCTATCAATTAATGGAATAACACCCATTTATATTGATCAATCAAAGGATTTCTTTCCAACAAACAACTCACCTTACCCATACCAATTCCTTCCTATTGTGGGACCAGAGAGTGCATGAACGTAGCACAATTCCTTCCATGTCATCATTTGGTAGGGTCAAGAGCTACTTATAAATAATTAAATAAATACAAATTAGAGATCGAAGTAGTAGGTTATTCAACGAGCTAAAATGCCTGGTTATGAAGTAACGTGCATGAAGAGGGTGACCAAGTACTTAACTTTTAGTTAATACATTTAAGCATAAAATCAAAAGAGAAGATAAAACAAGTAAACGAGGACCACTGTATATAGTTCTTTTGTATGAACACACAACAACCACACATTTGCAGCATTAATAATTTGACATTTTATGCGGGTCCCCCCAAATTAATTTTAGTAGATATGTAATATCGTCTTGTATGTGTCATGTATGGTGCATTTTTAAGCACATAAACACTAAATAAATAAGAATTAGATCTAAGGAAATGATCATGTGGTTAAGTTTACAAACAACTCTGCTGATACATGTTTTGATCTAGTATAAGTGAATTGATTGAGTGGGCTTTAGTTTTTGATTGGTATATGCTTAATACGAATGAAATTATCTTGTCTCATTGTGATTTTTTCTATAGATCAGATATACAATCCGGTGAAACAGGAGAGAGTCTAACATTCAAATACAAAGCGCCCCAAGTTGCCAAATAGCAATCAGGGGTCAGTAATAGAAGGATGACGGGTCACCAAAGCAGTACGACCGCACTTTTGCTACTGATTTGGCGTACTTGTCTGTCATTGGTTTCCAGTTGGCAATAGCAACTTGCCATCTTGACATAACTGTCTAACATATAGAAGATTCTGGAAGGATTCTCCAGGTCAGGTTTGGGGTTAGTCAACGAAAATTTGTGAAATGATATGTTTTTTTTTTTTTTTTTTCTACCACAAATGCTTTGAATTAATCAATATAACATTTCATATATACCATTGATTTTTCTTCATAAAATGTTTCCTACACAACAATTTAAGCATCCACAGTAATTCCAACTCCGGTTGTTAAAACTTGAAAGAAGATTTCATTTGATCAAGTAGTTTCTGCGAGATCTTTTTTTTTTTTTTATTTGAACGGAGAAGAGGAAGAAAACTTTTGCACTGTGAAGTGAAGTAGTTCAACCCGTATAGGCCGGGCGAGAACAAAGGTTTCTAATAGACCCTTTTTGTGTTTTGAAAATACACAACCTTAACAACTAGAAATGACACTTATATGAATTGGGTACGTCGGTCTTGTACTTGTTCTTCCAAGTGATTAATGGCGTTGTGGCCAGCCAAGTTTAGTACTGAGATATGTCAAGATTTTCATAAGAAAGTACAAATTAAGATTTGGGTGGCTGGGATTGTACTTGTGTCAAAATTTATTTGAATGGTGTCAACTGAAAGGTCAAGTCCAAAGCAATGTAAAATGATGGTTGGGAGTTGGGACCAACCCAAATTGCAAATCAAACTCCCGGGGGGGCCCGGCGCAGAAGATAAAAGAAAAGAAAGAAACCCTTTGTAATATCGGGAAGATTCCATAATGTAATGAAAGCAACAAAGGAAACTTCACTCGGACTTCCTTAGGGCCATTTATAAACATGCAAGTGAAGAAGTTAGCTTCATCATATGCATGAATGTGACCTGCACAAGTCTTATCATGTTTGGATTTAACATTCTTATTGAAGGCAGAACGGGATGAACATGAACTACACACAGAATCAAGACCAGATGGGCTGGAGAAAGTATCTGGGCTACCGATATCATGCATGAATGAACAGGCCAGTGTTTCTTACCCATAGGGCCCATCCATTATGGTCCCACTTTATGCACAGGGATGGTATATTCACTTGTTATAGTTAGGTTTGCCTAGCCTGTGTATCATTTTGTCTCTAGCCTATTTGAACTCCACAAAGTCGTGCACACCGGGCAAAAGGACCAAATCAAGAGTGAATATATATGCCAGTGTTTTGTACACATCACACTATATGGACAGAAACATAGAACGTTGATGTGTTTATTCTTGATAGGTGGTATAGCTGGGTGCGCACGACTTTGTGTGTAGTCCATCTGGATTTTAGAAGGCTATGCAAAAAAGGGGAATATAATTGCTTCAGTGAATTAAATAAATAAACAATTGAATGAGAAAAGATAAAAAAAAAAAAATTAAGTCTATTATTTTAGAAAATCTTGCTAATTTCCTGTAGCACTGTTATGATTGCCATCATGCTAATGGTTTGGGTTTGGCCTTAAAATTGGCATACTGTGACAACATTAAATTATATATATTCTTAGTCATGTCATTAGACTGTAAGGTTGAATGTGACTAATACTGTAGGGCCAATTGATAATGCTACAATGGTTGAACTGAACGACTTGTTGCTTTCTCTTTTAGTGAATAAATTATTGAGGTTGTGAGCTCCTAACTAGAGCTGATGTTGTTGCCCGAATATTTTATTATCAACTAAAATACGAAGCAATTAAGTCACTCGATCAGTTCAGCCACCCCAGCTATTACTAAAATATTTCCTACCTTTCCTTTTTTTTTTTTTTTTTTCCTTCAAACCAAACATAGCCTAGTTAATACCAAGTTTTGCTAATAATTCCTGCTGCAACGATTTCTACTAATACTTGCAAGAATGTAACATAATATGGGTAGGTAGTAGACGCATGAATGAATGATACGAAATGTTTCTTTTTCACTGGGCCAATGGGCTAAGACAAATGGGTTAATATCTAGATTAGAACCAACCACAACCAGCCAGTTGAGACTTAACCCGTATGCTTTTCTTTTCATTTTCTGTTTCTTTAGTATATCATAGTTAGGGCATTTTCAAATGTTCACTTATCTCTAAGTATGTTTAATACGCTACTCTGTGAAGAGATTTCAATAATATTGTAAGAATTTTGATTAATTGTCAAGAGATTTATCTATTTATTTTTTATACTAGACTAAAGAACTGAATACATTTTGCAATTATGCATGACAACTCCAGAAGACCTAGGTGCTGGCGTGAAAAGTTGGTCACTTGGTTTGTCTATTCACTTTGTAATATAAGGGAATAGATTTTGGATATATATACATATATATACAATGCATGGGATGGGGCCACGAGGTGCATAGATAGATGGGACAGGGGCTCTTATCACTCAGCACTTTCTCTATCTGATTTAGACCCATTACCAAATGCATGTCAGGCAAGAGATTGCTTGTATGAAAAATTTGCTTTTTATTATATATATATATATATATTGACTTTTAAGTTTTATCAATCTCATAAAGCTTGCGTAAAAATTTAATTAATATGAGATTTAACAGACTACAGGGGATTGATCGATCAAGATAATTACTCGTTCCGGGACTCCTGCCACTCACTCTATTGCATTTGTTCATACCGCAAGCTTTTGAAAATTGATAAACTATGTACCTCTGGTTAATTTCTTTTCTTTTTCTGATGAGATAAGCTACTGCTGTGTTGCCAAGTTCTAGATGGATTACCCAGGAATTTCAACACAGTTGCAGATTCGTTGGCAAAATTGGGTGTATTTAGAGAATTTTTGTACATCAACATTAATATGCCTTTAAGTTTTTTTTTTTTTTTTCTTTGACGGGCTCTGATCTCTGTCTGGGGTGTTCCTTGTCCATATATTTTTACTTTTGATTGGTTCCATAGTCCATTAATTGTACGTACACACCTTTGTTTGTAGTTCATATATCCTGTTCGAAAGATCCATGACCGTTTTCGGCAAGGGATGGAACATAGAACTGTTTTGGTAACTGCGTCATTGGTTGGACAGTTCGACTATCTAGTTCAAGTAGTCTTTTAATTTATATTAATAAAAAAATTATTAAAAACAAAAAAAAAATGGAAATATACACATGGTTTTTAAAACGGGATTGAATCAGATGGTCCGATCGGAAAACCAGAAATCGATCAGGTAATTGGTTTCATTTCATCATAAATTTGTTTTTTGACAAAAAACTATTGATTTAGTCAGTGACTCGCTGACCAATGTCGTCGAACCGTTGGCTCGGACAGCAGTTTTTGACCATTTATTATTATTATTTTTTATTTTTTAAGTCAAAATGGACCATCAGTTCAAACTGGACAATATATCAGCCCATTCAACCTAGGAACCACCCCATAACGGTTCCCTGTCTGATTCGGCTTTAAAAACCTTGGATATACAAGCCTTTTATTATACAAAGCTTGTCTCAAAGAAAAAAACCAATTCAACCAGTCCCAACAAAACTAGGCCATCAAAGATATAATACAATACGCCTACACTTGTCAAACCACCTAAATACCACATATAACACAACACAAGCCAACTGCTAACCTGACCTTGTAAATCCAAGAGAATTACATGCAAGAGAATGAGAGAGATGCCAACCTAACAAAACAATTAATAGAATTTGTTAGAGAACAAAAACCTATTCAGAGACCTCACCTAATATCTAGCTAACTCAATTAATACTTTTATTTTGAACAGATTATATTGAGATGGTATCAGAGCATATTTGACCAAGTGATTTAGTGTTTGATCCTCATTGTCCCATTATAATTAATTAAATTACACCACAAGGTATGGATGGGTGTGCTTGTCCATGCTTCAAGCTCAATAAACTTTCACATGAGGGGGCATGAACTTTTAGGTTGAACTACTCCTTGCATAATGACTTGTATATTTGCTTATGATTCAATTAAATATACAAATCATGTAAAACAAGGAAGAAAACAAATTTCTTTTTATAGAAAATAATATTTTAATTGTAATAATATAAAAATCTTGCAAGTATGCATAACATTCACGTTTACATATCTT